TTTTTTTTAAATAATTTTAACGAGTATTTTAATTATAAATATTTTTAATATCCTTTAGCAGATGTTCATTTAATTCTGGTAATGATAATTTTAGTGATAAAACGCTAGTGTAGCGCTAACTAGATTAAAATTATTACGTCCAGAGACGCCTCAGGGGGCCCTTAACAAATAATATTGGCAAAAATTAATACGCCACTGAGTGTCTGGTAATTTTTATATATTTTTCGGATTGTGCAACTAAAAATATCCTTTTTTGTCTGTTGAATTGTTTTCATATCTTGCTTCGTTTTCGAGAAATAAAAATAAAACCATTTGGAAAACAAAAATCATTAAGAAACAAAACCATAAATTATTAATACGCTATATTTTTTGCTGTTTAAAATTATCTTATAAAACTAGATAAAAGAATATATACTTTGTAAAACACGTTAGTATTATGCCCTTTGAAGACCTAACTTAAAAAAGATGTATCTCGTAAAATCATAATTTGCATGTAAAAGTTTATATATCAAATATTAATTGGTAATTATCAGTACTTTAACGTGATATACTCAAAATTATAAAACAACGTTGCTTCTTTGACTTTTTAACCTTTATAAAATGGTAAAATTTTAAATTAAATTGTCCCCAGCATCCCCTGTATATTAAAATCTAAAAAATATAATACCTGGATTTATTGCCATTAATAAGGCCTATAGGCCTTATTATACATAGGCCTTATTATACATTTTATCTTAATTTCAAATCTAATCTATTTTTAACACAGTACAGTGACTTAAGGCCTGAAAACCACAGCGGTCAATGGATGAAATTTTTTTTTTAAATGCACCATTTAGATAGAGAAACAAGGTTAAAAAATATATTCAATTCTGGCATCACTTGCTAACAAATGTCCAAAATTTGTTCGATTTTTAGCGAAACCATAGTTAAAAGTAACTTATATCCTTTACACATTTTAAAAAAATTATACTTTAACATAGTTTGAAAATATTAATACAAACATTAAAATTCTCTATCTGGAAAACTCTCGTTGTCACAGGCAATATACGGAAATAAGTTGGAACATTCAAATTTGGCATGCATTTTTTGTTGTTGTTTTTTTAACAAATGAGTGTGACCCATTTGTTTGCGACTCATCCCTGCAAAATCTTTATTTATTGTGCAATATTAACAGAATTTGTTTTAAACTATAGATCTTGATAGACTGTATTTTTGGAGCAAAAAACACAATATTTTTACAAAATACAAGGCCTACTATGTCAGTTTTTAAGAGTAAATTTTATTTATTATTTAATATTAGCGATTTAAAAGAAAACTATGCACGGCACTGAATTCACCACTCCTCAAAACGACCTTTTACTAAACTTTATTAAAAAAAATTTGGTAGAAACGATTTTGTAGCTAAATTAAAAATGCACAATAATTATAATTTACAAAAATTTATTCTGTCAAGTTATCCATGAAATAAACATTGAAATAAAATTAAACATGGCATAAATGCTTAGGTTTGACAAATAAAAAACGCAATAGTAACTTAAAACAACAATGAGACAAAAAATAGAGAAATTCAATTTTTTTTTATTTATCATAGTTATTGTGCAGTAGAGATGACAAAAATCTAATTGTAGAGATTTTTTTAAATTCTCTATTTTTTATTTCAATATTGTTTTAAGTTTCTATTACGTTTTTTATTTGTCAAAACTAAGCATAAGAATACCATGTTACTATTAGTTTAATTTTATTTCAATTGTTTTTTTCATGGATAACTTGACAGAATAAATTTTTGTAAATAGTTATTATTGCTCATTTTTTTAAATAAAATTTAGTGCATAGATTTTTTTAAATCGCTAATATGAATTCTTAAAAATTTAAAACTTGACATAGAAGGTCTTGTATTTTGTAAAAATATGGCGTTTTATGCTCCAAAAATATAGTTTATCTAGATCTACACATTAAAACAAATCCAGTTAAAATCGCACAATAAATAAAAAAATTTCATGATATAAAAAACTTTTCCGAAAATGTTTTATTTAATTTTTTTTAAATATTCTTTGTTTTTCTATAAAAGGTAGGATATTTTCAAGTTTTATTAGCTGCCGACTATTGCAGACTGCAGCTGTAGCTAATTTCGAATTACAGCCAATATAATATACGAAACAGTTTACTCATTTATTTTGAAAAGTCTTTTAAGGATTATTTTCGATGAAAAATAGGGAATGATAGAAAGATCTTCTGTAGTAATTTCAAACAATAAATAGAGTCTATTTAATAGACAATTTGCAGTAATTTAATAGACAATTTGAAGTAATTTTCCAGAAACTCGGCTTTATTATTTGATGATTTTGTAAATTTTCGTTATTCGTTCATGAATTTTGTAAATGAGTTTGTGACATTTTTTCAGGTTTAACGTTATGTTATATTATAGGTTATGTACAGGGTGGTCCACGTAAGGTGACCCATATACTTATCTCAGAAACTACTGGAGTCACAAAAAATTTGTAGGAAACAAATATTCACGAAGTAAAAAATATTTTTAAAATATTATACTTTCATTTATACAGGGTGTTCGGTTTTCCTTGGGACGATACCAACTTTCTTATTTTCAATGGAACACCCTGTATTTTTTTGCATTTTTGGATTCTACCCACTCTTTTAGGTATACTTTGTAAATATATTAATTAAGAAAATGTTAATACTTTTTGAGTAAAATTAAGATTTATTAAAATTTCTCTAAATGTAGACACTCGCTAAAAGTTAAAAATAATCAACTAAAAGTTATTATTTTTTATATTATGTAGTATCCATCTCTTTAATAATAAGTAAGCTATAAGTTAATTATTATATTTTTTGGAAAATATCATACAGGGTGTTTTCTATGTCCCGTTGAAAATACCGATTTTAAAAATTTAAAATCTTGTTTTTCTTCAATGGAACACCCTATATATTTTTGCATAATTGGATAGAATAAGTAATTACCTTTCATTTTATATATATATGTCCTATACCTAAACCTAACAGGAAAAAAAATATTCGCATTTTTCACAATTAGTAGCTTTTTTCCAATTATCTTAGTTAAATTTTCATTATTCAAATAAATAAATTTCAATAACAACAAATAAAAATGCTTTTATATATAAATATATATTACTATAATAATTACCATACGCGCAAAGCTACTAATTTTGTAAAATGCGAATATTTTTTTTAGGTGATCCACGTAAGGTGACCCATATACTTATCTCAGAAACTACTGGAGTCACAAAAAATTTGTAGGAAACAAATATTCACGAAGTAAAAAATATTTTTAAAATATTATATTTTCATTTATACAGGGTGTTCGGTTTTCCTTGGGACGATACCAACTTTCTTATTTTCAATAGATCACCCTATATTTTTTTGCATTTTTGGATTCTACACACTCTTTTAGGTATACTTTGTAAATATATTAATTAAGAAAATGTTAATACTTTTTGAGTAAAATGAGGATTTATTAAAATTTCTCTAAATGTAGACATTCGCTAAAAGTTAAAAATAACCAACTAAAAGTTATTATTTTTTATATTATGTAGCATTCATCTCTTTAATAATAAGTAAGCTATAAGTTAATTAATTTATTTTTTGGAAAATATTATACAGGGTGTTTTCTTTGAATAATGAAAATTTAACTAAGGTAATTGGAAAAATGCTACTAATTGTGAAAAATGCGAATATTTTTTTTTCTGTTAGGTTTAGGTATAGGACATATATATATAAAATGAAAGGTAATTACTTATTCTATCCAATTATGCAAAAATATATAGGGTGTTCCATTGAAGAAAAACAAGATTTTAAACTTTTAAAATCGCTATTTTCAACGGGACATAGAAAACACCCTGTATGATATTTTCCAAAAATATAATAATTAACTTATAGCTTACTTATTATTAAAGAGATGGATACTACATAATATAAAAAATAATAACTTTTAGTTGATTATTTTTAACTTTTAGCGAGTGTCTACATTTAGAGAAGTTTTAATAAATCTTAATTTTACTCAAAAAGTATTAACATTTTCTTATTTAATATATTTACAAAGTATACCTAAAAGAGTGGGAAGAATCCAAAAATGCAAAAAAATACAGGGTGTTCCATTGAAAATAAGAAAGTTGGTATCGTCCCAAGGAAAACCGAACACCCTGTATAAATGAAAATATAATATTTTAAAAATATTTTTTACTTCGTGAATATTTGTTCCTTACAAATTTTTTGTGACTCCAGTAGTTTCTGAGATAAGTATATGGGTCACCTTACGTGGACCACCCTGTACATGAATTTATTCTACAGTGACCTGTAACTTTACCTTTTATTTGCTGATTTCGAGCTAAACGCGATAGATGGATTTTAATGTATTTTTATTATCGTACGGCGGTGTATAATAATTTGTATTTTAAAATTTGTTTGTTTTTAATTTTCCAAAATATATGATAAAAGACCTATTATAGGCTATAAGCCTATAATAGGCTTAATATGAAAATTGTTATAAAAAACAAACAAATTTTATGACCCAAAAGTGAAAAACAATACAACAATATTAAAAAAACTGGAAACACAGGTCAAATTTCTAAAATAGAAATTGTACTATACTTTTCTGAAGGTTTTTAAATTCGATTCCGACCTCAGATTTGCTTCATCATGTCAGGTTTAAAAAATTATGACCCAAAATTGAAAAACACGTTTCGGTACCTTACAAAATAATGTTTTTCCACAAAACTCTTTATGCCATCTAAAAGTAACACTCCTTAAAATCCTTTATATGTGATTGTGTGATGTTATATAATCATAAATATTTCACTTTTGGTTTGGAATTTCTGATGTGATAAAGCAATTTTAAAGACGGATAGGATTTGGCACGTTAAACATTTTAAAGACTTGTGGAATTATTCAAATTATTTGGATAAGAAAGTGTTTTTATCTATATTAAAGTTTTTCCAATTAGATTAGAAGTTTTATATTTCACTTACCACTTCCTGGGGCAGGTTGTCGATGTCGTCAAAAGGGCTTTCCACAGTGTTGGCGTCAGCGTCCAGTATCACGACGTCGCCGATTTCGCTTCTTCGCACATTCTGGAATGAAAAAGAAACGGGCACGTGTGAGATTTCCTCTCTAAATCGAGTCGCCAAGCGGGCCGTTCACCGACTTAAATTACTAACAATCATTGCGAGAGAAGAGAGGGTCCCGACTACAAATCACACACTTTGAAGTGTGTTTTTCCTTTTTAATTTATAATAAAACATTTATTGGTTTTCTTGACAAAAAAACTAACCAAATTTGTTAAAAAATAAATTAAAAAATTAGGAACATTGTATGCTACTTTATAAGTCATTGGTCATTAGTCATTAAACAATGTTTAACAAGACATTAACTTAAAAAAGTAATTATCAAATAATTTTAATATAATTGTATGATTAACAAGTATTTTTTAAATATTTACATAATAAAGTAAACAAAATTTTATGAAGATAATTTATGTATGTGAGATTAAGACCGCAATGTTAAAATTACTTAAACGTGTTTTATAATATATAAGTAAGCTATAAATAAATAAATAAATAAATAAATAATTTAGTGCATAAAATATATAACTTACTAATTTGGCTATAGATTTTTATTATCTTAAACTAAAATTATTTAATTAATAATATTTAAAATCGTTTGTTTCAGATGTGTTAAAGAAACATACAAATCGCTCATATACAGTGTAGTTCAAGGAAAATACTGTGCGAAATTAGTGCTAACTTTTACTATCTGTGCAGGTAAAATCAGTGTATTTGTTCTCCAAAGTCTTAATAGAAACATTAAACGAGTGCCTCAAAAAGCAATATCTCAACAAGTGAATACAGGGATAAAGTACATTCGGACACGGAAGTAATTAGGACAAAGGACAGCGGACCTGGCGGACTACACAGGTCAAGGAATCACCTGTAAAGAAGAAACGAGTCTAACAAAGGGTGGAAGGGGCCACAATCCACACAACAAGGTCTGTTCGATCTCGTATTAAAAATACTAAAAATCACTGCAACACTGCACATCATACGATGGCGGCCATTTTTGTTGTTTACAATTCTTGTGCTTTGGGTTTGTACAGATTAATAATCGTTTTATACGTTGTGTTTCTTACAGAGAGACTTGCAAGCCTTAAAAGAGACCTCAAAGTTGTAAGAACAATCATTTTACTCTTTTTTTTGTAAAAAATAAACCTTATTCTATCAAATGTCAATTTGAAGGTTAATTTGTGGGTTATAAAATAACCTTAAATTAACCTTCAAATTGACATTTGACAGCCCGGCGTGAAAATTGGTGTAGTTGTGGATACGTAGGAGAACTGAAAGAGGGTAAAATAACCCTGGGAGATGTCGATGTGGCCTGCCATAGGTCCTTATACTCATATTTAAATTTTTTAGTTTTTTTAGTGTTTTTAAAAAATATATAATTAATTATAAATGAAAGGGTACAAGTGCATTTTAGCACAAAAATAAGTTAAGTGTGTTAAGTATTATTATTATATATTATTATTATATTGCAACGGTTTTAAAGTAAAACAGTGTAAAATGAAATACTATTAATGGCTCCTCATAGAATACTCCTTTGTTAACGTGTATACCATTGATTACCATTGATTATGTTCTGTAATTGATTAATATGTATAAATACTTCTCACTCAACGTGTATACCATTACCATTGATTATTTTCTGTAATTGATTAATATGTATAAATACTTCTCACTCAACGTATATACCAAGAATAAACTTTTCAACAATACAATTGTTGGATATACAGAAATTTACTTAAGTAGTTATTCTACGCGCAAAAACAATGAAATATAAAATAAATGTTGTTATCCGATTTTTTACTGTTTTCGAGTCACAAACTTAAAAAAAATCCATATATTTTTCGTCTAATAAATGCTTAAAAATACCACCACTAACCTCTTGGCAGTTTTTTTTTTACATTTACCGATTTTAATAATGATGTCAGTTTCAGTTGGAAATAGGGTGTTTTAAATTTTCGATCTTTTTTTTCTTTTCAGGGGCATCCGTTATGGGTCAGCATCTCCGTAGAGGGGGCCGTAGGGAAGGAATGTATAGGAGCTTGAACTCATTTTATGTATTCTATCTAAATCCGGGAGATTGCCCACATATTCTGGGACACCCTGTATAGGCTATAATAGCGGCCCACCTTTCTGCGCACAATTTTGCGTTGTCGGTCATTGTACACGTGTGACGTTCTTATGGACCCACACGCCTTCTATAAAGTTGAAGCTCCTAAATATAATTTTCTTACTCGATATTATAAGAAAGCAATAATTAGAATATTGTGTGAACTATTGTACAGCACATTTTTTCCAAACCTTTTATCTTAAAAACAATAAAAAATCGGATAATATCAAAGTTTTTTATTGTTTTTATGCGTAGAATACACCTTTGAAATTTTTCACTTTCCATCCAACTCACCCTGTTTATACATATAATATATAGCGAGAAAAACAAACAATAGTTTTAAAGGAATTACCCTAATCTAAAATTAAATTTCTATACTTATCCTAAAATCCTAAATCGAGCCTGTAGAACTTGATTTTTATTGTTTAGTGTTTTTTAAGGCCGTAGCCAATGTGGGGATGAGGGGTTTAATCCCCCCTAAAATTTTAGAAAATTTAATTTAAAAACAGTTTTTAAACAAAACCTAATCTGTATTGTGTTGCAACCGTTTTTTTATTAACCAATCCCCCCAAAACTTTATTCTAGCTACGGCCTTACTGTTTTTTGTAATACTTATCTAAGTAATTATTATTATTATGAAATTTTTAAACTGTTAATGATTTTAATATTCCAAATCGTCACCTAAATGCCACCTCTTTGTATTTCTTGCAGTTTTTGTACCAAATGACACCAAAATGGCAAAAACGGCAGTTTTAAAAATTTAGGTGACGAAATGTTCTTTTTAGTAACCAAATTCCCAAAAAATCCCAGGATTTGGGTATGTTTGCGATGTTGCCAAATTTCCAAAAATATTTTTTTGCTTTTTTGAGATGTTGACAAATTTAAAAAATCCCAGAGCATGGGGGTTTTTAAAATCTTCAGGATATCTTCAATAATTCATCTTAAACTATTTAGCGGTGCTGAAAATTTCCAAAAATTCCCTGAATCTGGGAAAAGCCAAACTTTGCAAACTTCCCAGTGGTTTAACTCATTTTTTTCAAATGGAATTCTCACTATTTTATGTGACCATTCGATAGGTATTTTCCTCCTCTTCAATTTGGTGAGGTATATCTTATGTCTAAAACCCATAGTTGTAGAGATATTCAATATTTTTCACGTATTCATTTAATTACATTTCTATGCACCGAAGTGTCCTAAGTGTATGTGATATTTGATTGAATTGAATTTCAAAACTCGAAACGTTGAGTAGTTAACATTTAAAAAACGAACGACTTAAAAACACCTTTTAAAAAGCAAGAAAGCTAAAAAACGTTAATGTTATCAGTTCTTTTTGTATGGCAGTTCGGAAAATCACCCAGATTGATATTTGCTGCAAAAGTGTTTCATGGTAAAAGTAGACCACAACTTATTAAGATGAATTTCGAAAAAGACGAGAACTAGTCTTAATGATTTTTGTATTAGGGGAGACGGATCGAAATTGCTTATTGGCGAATGAGAAAAGTTTCAGGAACCTACTCAATAGATTTATTGAAACAGGAAGTGTAAAGTACAAAAAAACAAGGAATAACTGAACCTAATATATACAAGAAAAACGAATTTTCAGTTTCAATACGCGAGACTTAAGGGCATGTCTTGATGACATTTTCAGCAACCAATGGATTGGTAGGACCACCCACCAGATGGCCTGCTAGATCTTCGGATCTGACAAAACCTGATGTTTTTTTTTTGAGGGAATACGTGAAGGGAATTGTTTTTAACGAACCACCGACAACACCAATGAATATGAAACAACGAATTGTGGACGCTTTTGCAAGTGTTAGAAAGAGTTCAAAAGTCTTTTCAGCAGCGAATTGATTTGAGCCTGAATGAAAATGGAAAACATTTTAAACATTTACTACATAGTATCGTTTCCCCTATGTATTTTTAAATTTGTTACCTTTTAGGGTTTTTAAATAAAATAATGAATCTTATTACAGAACTTATTGGTTTTTACTCTTAACTTCATTAGATGTTAAATTGACTCTTACTTACATTTTGACAGTTGTTTTGCTTCAGCACGGCTTACTTTAGTGCATAGAAATGTAATTAAATAGAATATTGAATATCTCAACAAAATTAGAGTTTAGCCTTAAGATATGTCCCATTAAACTGAAGAGAAGAAAAAGGGTGACATAAAATGAGTTAAAATTACTTAAGTAAGCTGAACACTAATTAGGCAATATTTTTGGAAAATAAATTATAAGTTGGCAACACTGTCACATAATCAAAAATAGACAAATGTAGAGGTAAAATATACATTAATGTAGAGGTAAAAATGTCATCGGAAAACTACAGCGTGTTTTTGAAAATAATTTTGCGGCATAAGGAATTTTAAACTAATAATTTTTTGTACAAAACTTTTTTCTACCCCTTTGAAAAGGCGCTACGAAAGCCCGACGCACTGTTGAAGGGCCCTTGAAATAACACGTAAACCAGAATTTTTTTTTAATTAATTTAATTTGCTAAAAAACCGGGTCTTCACACAAGTTTATTATTATTATTTATTAAGTGAATTTAGACTGTGTAATCTTTTTGGACAATTAATAATATTAAGAAAATTGCATTATTTCATAATGTATTTTTTGTATACAATTTTTTATATTTTTAAGTTGTTGCTTCGTGCAATATAGGTATGAAAAACAACTCGAGAGACAAAAATTTAGTAAATAGATAAAGGAACCTAATTTTTAAGTTTAACCAGCAGCAATATAATATTAGAAACACAATCAGTTTTAATCATTTATTTCCTTTGGATATAAAATTTTATGCAAAAAGCTAATCTTAATAAAATATTAAAACTGTATCTCAAAATCCGATAAAAAGACCTAAGCGTCCCAGCCGTAATTTTAGAGGAGAAAGGAAAGAA